GTCATGAGCTAATGTTCACATGTAAACAGCAGCTCATGTAGTGTAGATGTCCAGACAACAAGGATGTAGCGAGGTTGACTGTCCAGGCGACACACGTACTTAGGTATCGTCATGAGCTAATGTTCACATGTAAACAGCAGCTCATGTAGTGTAGATGTCCAGTCAACAAGGATGTAGCGAGGTTGACTGTCCAGGCGACACACGTACTTAGGTATCGTCATGAGCTAATGTTCACATGTAAACAGCAGCTCATGTAGTGTAGATGTCCAGTCAACAAGGATGTAGCGAGGTTGACTGTCCAGGCGACACACGTACTTAGGTATCGTCATGAGCTAATGTTCACATGTAAACAGCAGCTCATGTAGTGTAGATGTCCAGTCAACAAGGATGTAGCGAGGTTGACTGTCCAGGCGACACACGTACTTAGGTATCGTCATGAGCTAATGTTCACATGTAAACAGCAGCTCATGTAGTGTAGATGTCCAGTCAACAAGGATGTAGCGAGGTTGACTGTCCAGGCAACACACGTACTTAGGTATCGTCATGAGCTAATGTTCACATGTAAACAGCAGCTCATGTAGTGTAGATGTCCAGTCAACAAGGATGTAGCGAGGTTGACTGTCCAGGCGACACACGTACTTAGGTATCGTCATGAGCTAATGTTCACATGTAAACAGCAGCTCATGTAGTGTAGATGTCCAGTCAACAAGGATGTAGCGAGGTTGACTGTCCAGGCGACACACGTACTTAGGTATCGTCATGAGCTAATGTTCACATGTAAACAGCAGCTCATGTAGTGTAGGTCTCCAGTCAATAAGGATGTAGCGAGGTTGACTGTCCAGTCGACACACGTACTTAGGTATCGTCATGAGCTAATGTTTACATGTAAACAGCAGCTCATGTAGTGTAGATGTCCAGTCAACAAGGATGTATCGAGGTTGACTGTCCAGGCGACACACGTACTTAGGTATCGTCACGAGCTAATGTTCACATGTAAACAGCAGCTCATGTAGTGTAGATGTCCAGTCAACAAAGATGTAGCGAGGTTGACTGTCCAGGCGACACACGTAGTTAGAAGAGGAAACTCTGCATTTTATTATCACATGCACTGGTAGCTTATCGATCTCACTTATCGCTTGATATTTAACCGTACATATTAATTTTTATCTGCACTTTTACGCCGTCACCTAACGCAAGGTTATAATCACAATTTGACATTGGTTTAGCCTCTATGTTATGAGAAATAGGGTCACTTTTCGTAACCCAAATAGTATCTTATAAAGTAGGTACTATTGTATCAAAAGAGAACCAAGGAGTTTATTGCACATGCTTCTCCATAAGAAATAACACTATGGATGGAACCAGATAAGCTAGGAATGATTTGAAATAGTTTTATCTCTTCATTGTGACTCACCGGGAGCTGCGGTTATCCTAGCTCCAGCTCAAAGCAGGAGTAGGAACGGGGTGGTGTTTGGTCAGTAGAGTCTGACACTCCCTCTCGCCTCACCTAAGGCTAGATAAGTTATTGAATGATTTTCCATCGGAGAAAAATGCTACCTGTCAACCTAGTTTCAAATACATTATCGTGAGTCGATTAAAAATTCCTTGAATAACATTCGAGAGTCTGAATGACGTATAGATAATATTCAAAATTATTTCTTGATAAGAGTTTAATTCGGATGTGCTGATATAGGTAGTTACGATGCGATTTATCAATGATTGTTTTAATAATTATGTTGGTCGTGATAATAATATGAATTGCGATTAATAGATTTTTGCTTGAAATGGCTCATCTCTCTAAATATAATCGCTTATCATGAGGCCATCCGTTTACTTGTTTACTCCGATAAAACAAAAAAACCAGCTTTCCGCCCTCGCCTTTGCCTGTGTAGGCAAAACCATAGTAAATTGTACACCTAAACTTTGTTTAGGTATTGCCTATATTTATGGAAACAGTATAAAAATCTTTCCGGCAGTTTTTTGAGTTCATCGATTATACAGGCAGGCTATAGCGAAAGGTGATTCTGATTATTGTTATTTTTACTTCTATAGATTATTATATTTATAACATAACAGCACGCCTTTCTTCCCCGAAGGGGTAAGCAGAGATGCACATTACGCCACTTAATGCCACTGTACAATGTATGTAACACCCACTTTTTCACTATACATATTATGTTGAGTCCCATGTAATAGGAGGTGAGCCTATTGCCATGTACCGGGCGCTATTCCAGACTCCGTGCTACTATTGGGATTTAAAAAAAAAACAGTAATACTTTGCCCGTCCCGGGAATCGAACCCGAGACCCCTTGCCCGGCAGTCGCACTTGTTGCTACCAGTCGGCCAATGAGGCAGTTATATTTAAAATAACTACTTAAATTGTTATTTGAAGGACATTGGGGATAATGCAAAGAGTTGTGTCGAACGGTAATTTAAACTGTCAAACACCAAGCGGACACCGGTGACCGCAACCTATTGTTCTTTAATTGTGTCTATAATGACGGTACTCGACGAGTTCCTGCGACGCGTTATACTCCAGTTCATACATGTATTATTATATCCTTAGAAAATTGTGCATACGTAACTTTGTTTATATCTGTGGTTTGTCAGTACAAGTGATAACTGATAAGCTACCAACGTAAACTACAGCTCTTATTTGTCCACATAAACTCATCTTGGTACTATGGCTACGTGACAAAAGGCATACACGCCATTTTTTTTGTTAAACAATTAGCTGGGTAAAGATTTTTGACGTATTTTTCAATTTGAGTTAACCATGCTTCGTCACGAATGGGTTAGCTCGACCGGAGTGATGTCACGGCCTCACAGAAAACCGACTTGAAACAACGCTTTCATCGTGTGAGTGAGGTGATCGGAAGCCCCCAGGAATCCTCAAAAGGCCGGCAACGCTTTGTAACGCCTCTGGTGTTTTAAGTGTTCATGGGCGACGCTGATTGCTGACCATCAGGTGATCCGTCCGATTGGATTTTGAGTCAGCAACGCTATGTCTCCTCTGGTGTTACAGCCGTTCATAGTTACCATTAACTGCTTTCCTTTAGGCGAACTGGAAACTTGTTTAAAACAGAATAGACTAAATTTTTGCCAGTTTTCTTGT